TTGGAAAATAGCCCCGGTTGCTTGGGATGGATTAATAAGGGATACAGGTTGCTTTAGAAGATGGTGGTGGGTTATCTGCTCCTTGGACAATCAAAGGTATCACATGATAGAATACAATTAACCACATTTATTATGTGGTGGTTGTAGAAATCTAGAAATTTATGGAAGTTTCAAAGTTGTATGATTCCTGAAAAGGAGGTGGTTCGGGTTGCAATGAAGGATTGGAGGGAATTCTTTGCTTGTCAGTAAGTGTTTGATCAAAATGGCTTGTTACTAGGCCTGATTCAGGTTCAGTGGTGATATGTCATCTTGTACTGCTTGGTTTGATTGGTTATGCTGTTGTTTGTGTGGTGTTGTGTGGGTGGCTCATTTCAGCTGGAGGGATCAACCATTTAGTTCTTGCCTTTGGTCTGCATGGATGGTCATTTAGGCGGTCTGCTTTATCTGTTTGTAGGGGGTTCCTTTTGGCTTTGTTTCTGGTTTTTTATTTGTTGTAGTAGTGTTGTTAATGGTGGTAATTGGAGTTTGTTGTATGTTTGTTGTGTATTGTTGTTTTGTTTGGGGTTTAGGGCATCCCTGAATATCCCTCTGGAGTTTTTTGTTGTTATCTTAGGATCATTTGATCCTCCCGGTTGCACAATCTTGTTTGTGGAATGAGGATCGATCTATCATTTTGGGAAAAAAAATCTTTTATCAATCACCCCATTGATACTTTAGTATAATTTTATTTGATACTTTAGTATAGCTTTGAAACTTCACATACTGTTATAAAATTAGAGAAAAGAGAGAATAGATTCTTGGTATATTTTCATTATAACTAAAACTCTGGTAGCTTTTGGATAAGTTTATGAGGATTGATATTTGAGTTTATTGTCTAGTGTTGTGTTTTCAAACCTCACATAAGCTTAAAGTGGTTCTACCATGTGGGCTTCTTTCTATTTCCTCTCCCTATTTTTTTTATTTTTATTTTTTAAATTTGATATTCATTTTCTGTTTTTATTTTATTTGTCATGATCTTTTCAATTTCTCCTAAAGTCATGTTTCAATATTTTAACAATAATAACAAACAATAATTATTGAAGTAAATGTTTTGTTTAATGCTTGGTTGTATGTTGTTTGAATTTGTATTTGGTTCCGTATTCAGAACAGTATTTCGGTATTCAGAATTTCAGCTTATGCATGCCTAATTCCAGTATCTTTCATGACGCCTATTAGAGTAATGAATTTTACTTGATTGTATGCATAGTGGTAAAAGAGAAAAGAAAAAGAGATCAAGATTATGTTGAGTAGCATCCCGCAATTAGAAAGTATTTCGAAACAATTAATATGAGTTTTCGAAAATGAAATATATGTTTTCCCAGTATAGTGAAAAATTACAATAATTTTAGTAAGTTTAGGCGGGGTGTTACATGACTTACATCTTTTGTGAGCTTGCCACGTGGCACCTTTCTTAGCACTCCATTTCAATAGAAACTTTTGAGTACTCTTGAACCCATTTTGCATTTGGGTTAAACTGCCCTTACATTTGTAGGCATTGATTCGGTCTTCATGACTTTCTAGTAATTTCAAATGGACTGTAACTTATCAGATAAGTCTCCACCTACCGCACTGCAACATTGCATATCCCAAAAGTCGTCCTTTCTCCCTCATATCTCATTTTGTTCCCCAATTTTGATCGCGCACAAGAAGAAGTCTCGAGCAAAGGAGGAACCGTCGGTGACAAACTGATGGGGTGATTGTTTATGGATTCAACTGGTTTTTATTTGGTTTGTGTTGATATAGAAATATGAATCTCGTTGATCCGCCATTACGTGGAATATTCGAGGAGATTAAGGGAAAGCCGAGGTGCGAGGACCGAGCTGCCGAACCACCCAACCCGACCTCATTAAAGAGGCTGACCTCAGTAGAGTTAGAGCCCAGGAAGCCGACGTCAACGATTGCGGGCCGCATTAAATGACTGTCAATCAGATATCTCGGCCCACATGAGAACCATCATTGACGGGGGGCCCACCTGTCAGAAAAGCGGAACCCATGCTGTCACAGCGCATTAAATGCCGCCGAATCCCCTCAAAAGACGAGCCGAGAGCCACTATAAATTTTAGAATTAAATTAGATACAAAGATCTTTTCCCGACACATTTATTACTATATTTATCACCTCGGTCTAAAGGAAAATCGACTTCATGTATTGAAAACCGTCTTGCATATCAGAATCCCGACATCAATTTTCTTCAATAAAATCACCCTTTTTACGCTTTAATCTGTCTTGTTTCAAACTTAAATAGTTGATCAAATCCTTTTATCAACATTTTGGCGCTAGAGGAAGGGTCTCATAAGATATTTTGAGGCCAATCTCTGAATCCAACTCTCATGCCGGCAGTCGGCTCGGACGGTGAACCTCCAGGAGGACAACATGCTAGAAATAATGGCTGAGAGCT